GTTGGGTTGTATAAGGTTGGAAAGTATCCTGGGAACGAGGGGAGCAGAATAACAAATGTAAGATATTAAACCCACACAAATGATACATTTTTCCATTTCCTGACATCAAAAACATAAATCACCACTAAAATGCATTTTAAAAATGCATAACAGAAATCAAAAATAAGGTTAATTAATTAAACACACAGATATATTTCCAAGGATTATCAACAGAGAAAAACCTGTATCATACTGACCCTTTAATTTTGTGACACAAACAGCATGACGAGTCTGCATTGCTGCTTCCTGCAATGGACTTAGTCACAATGGCCTCATGTGGATTTTGTTACAAGCAACATAAAAAATTAGCCCTGCCCTAGATGACTAAGGGATTCATAGAAAAAATAAAAATGCTTTATTGTTTTGAAGTGTCTAATGAGTTTACAAAACAAGCTGGTCTGGGGTAACAGGGAGGCAGCAAATAGAAACCTGGTGTAGCAGTGTAGACAGGCAAACAATTTGTCACTGTTGGGACTTTGTTACGAGGCATTTCGTTGGGGACTGGTTGAGCCTGTCTGCAAAAGGGGTGAGTTTTACTTACCATTTGTCACATACGTTGCTGGGCCATTTTTTAAATGTCTGTTATTTCTTTCATTTCTTTGTTAGAAATGGTTAGGCAGATTCTTTGGCTACTGTACATCGTTTCAAAATTTCTGAGTTGAGTTTGTTATGGCCTGCATGTGGGGCATTGTATCACTGTATTGAGAGCAATTTACCCTTTTAATTTTTCCATTTTTTGGTGGTCGGAGGAACTGGTCCTCTTTGTTGCAAATTTTTTCTAATGACTCTTGCAACACTTGCCAAACAAAAGCTAATTATATATATTCAAATTTGTTTTACCGGGTTACAGCCCTGTCGCCAGTTTCAGGCATTAAGGGGGAAATATTTTTTTAATGTGCTTTTACCGATGGATTGGGGGAGCTTCGCACCAAAGGGAGGGGGCCCCTATAATAACTGCATGTGCATGTGCGTCATGACACGGGTATGCTTGCAATGGCAATTTTCCAAAATTGTGTCGTTAGACGCATCATTGGAAACAGCCTTCTTTCATTGTTTTCTTCCAAATGACAGCTTACTGGAGAGAATAATTTCACAGGGAGTTAAGTCCCATAACCATGTACGCTGTTCTGCAATTGCTGCGCGCACAATGAAAGTTAAAATGTTGCAAACTTCATGTAAACTGGGTTACGGTTAATTTTGATGTTTTCGGGGAAGAAAGGGAGCGATTGTGAGGGTCTCAATGTGGGCAGCTGAATTATAGGAACCTGAAACTTGAAATCATACCCTCTGCTGACAGGCCTGTGAGGGGGGGAGTTGTAACTCGGTGTTGTTACTTAATCCTACGTGTACATCCAAATTTATCCACTGCTCATTTGAGAGTCACAAGGCCTCATTTCAGCAAGGGAAATTCAACACGCATCAATTCACATCCTGAAAATAAACACAGGATTTAAAAATAGCCAGCCTAGGAATGTGGCTAATTCAAACATAGGTGGGTGTTTTACTTTAACAGTGTACACAGGAGGATTTTTATCAAGTCCGTTTAAAGAAAAAAGCTTGCGAGGACACTGAAAGCAATAAATTACTTTTATCTGTTTGTTCTTCTAAAATATAGAGATTTAAGTCCCACTTTGTAGGGAAATAGCATTAGATTAGAAAAATGCAGAATATTTCATAGAGATTCACAACATCATATAATTAGAGACCTTTGAGTGCTACAGAAGAAACTGAAACACCTTTTGAGATCTGTGGAAAATTTACTTTACATTAAATCAACTTATTTTTTGTTATCTTAATCGACAATGATTCTTATTTGTTCATAGGCCTATGTGATTTATTCATTTTGCTTGTACTTGGGGCTGTATTTCCTTTTACTTTTTATCTCAAGAAATCATAATTGTCTTTGTATGACACCATTTTCGGCCATAAAACACATTTACTATACAGAGGCCAGACACAACAGCATCAAATAATATAGCCTTGTGCACTTTTTCCCCTGTGCCATCACAACCTCCGGGTGAGTATTTTTAGACTGACAGCCAAAACAAGAAAAACTAAGAAGTGCAGGCAGGGTGTGAAAAATGAGCTCACCAAGGGAAGCCCAGGCATCATGTCATTAGATATTGCATTATGCTCCAGGGCTGCGAGTGAGCAAGTCACACAAGAAGAAGAGAGATCAGTGTTGTCTTAGCTTTGCTTGTCAGTTTGTACTCAGTGATTCCTTTGGCGCAGGTTTCTAGCTTTCTGCTCAAGCTGTGGCCTGGATAGGTATGGAGATGCAAGGCAGCCCTTCTCTGAAAATGGCCTCAAATCAGAAGGTAATTTTTATAGTTTGCAAATTGTTTGATGTGGAAAAGGCTACACTGACTTTGAAATCTGACACGGCTGCTTTTGCTGTTGGCTCCCCAGCTAGAAATATCTTTAATAAACAACTCTTTCAGACTAAAAACATTCATAATATAGATTTATATATTTAGTGCATTTCAGTTATGACACTAAATCTACATTTTTTAAACCATATTATTAAGAGTTGATTGAACATGAATAGGATTATATAAAACTGAATTTTACGTCTCATTTTTTCGTGACTGTGTACATTTAAGTAGTGTATTCGCCTTTTCAGGAAGAATTGTTGGAAATGTACAAATAATAGTGGAAACTGTCATATATATCATTCATTTTGCGATGTAATTTTTGAGCTACAAATTAAAATATGATGGAGTTGAAATATTTTATTTTTGAGACCAGCAGTGTACATTTTAGAAAGAGTATTTTGCATAGAGCTGTACAAAACTAGAAATCATTGGAAGTGCATGTTGATCAGACTTTTCCATGGAACGCTCATTAATAGAAGTCTGCATGGAATTTGATATTCAAACACTATATAGTAAAGCAAAGATAATTAAGTCCAGCTGGTTTCTTAAACAGGCGGTAATAATGACCCCCGTGGATGTTATTTGTGTGTATTGTCGAGAGAAGGCTTTGATGCAAATGAACACAGCATGCAAAAGATCACTGCACAGTTTAAAAGGCAGCATCAGTGATGAAGCCTTTACCTCGAATATAATTTAGGGTAAATAAACATTTTCCCAGCAAACATAATTGATGGGGTGTGAAGTGATGATTAATGAAGCAACACTGCAGCGTCCCACTAAGCTAGAAATACCACAGCCTTCTGCCAAATCTTGCACAACTCATGAACTAGCACTTCCATTAATCACTGCGTAGACAGTATTTTTAAAAGTGCTTTCAGTCATTGGAATTTCTTCTGTTTGAAGGCAGTACCGAGGGGTCTACCTGTGGGAACTTTCATGCAAAGCAATTGACCTCCATAAGATTGTCACTGAAATGATATAATGATTGCCGGAATTGGTGGAGAGTGGGGGGCCTTTCTCCTAGTCAGTGCTTGGTTTCACCTTCAGCTTAGACATCATCCCTGGCACTGGAACCATACTTGATGTCACCCATCTTAATTGAAAATGAAAACATTCCCAGCTTTTTCTTCATATATCATACAATTTGATTAAATCATATCGAACTAGAATCTTAAAAAGTTTGGGATCAAAAAGCTGGTGAAATCAAAGACAAGAGTGAAGTCTAATTTCAGAAAGGGAGATTTATGTAACATGTTTTGACTCCATGAAAATTATTCTGAAGCTTTGGAAAAAGATCATATATTTATTAGAGGGAAGATGAAGGGATTTCCTAGTAAGGGGAAAACACAAAATCCACTGGAAATTTAGTTATCTTTATTTATCATCACTTTATCCTGAAAATAGTTTTTTGTAAAATATGGTGTTATTGAATCATCTAAAGACGTTCAGAATTATAAACACTAATGGGATACGAAAATGTAGTTTTTGCACATTTTTCTTGCATTTATTAAAGATGGTCAGTTGTGGAGACAAGAGGACTGATAACTTCCGTGACTCATCTACTCCACCTGAAAGGGTCAATAAAGATGACAACAGAGGGCTGTCTGTCTCTTGCGTCTTCTTCCAGTGTCCTTTTGGATGCAGTGCCATCTATTCAAAGGCAACCATAGACCACCATTTGCTCATTCATTTGAAGAGGGTCAGTGTCTGGTACCAGGAAGCTAGGAATTCAGGGCTGGATAATTATCTGTGAGGTACACTAGGCACTGTGCTCAGGGTCTACAAAACTGTAATCTGTTTTATTATAGGTTTTCCCGACCAAATTCATCATCTTTGCACACAAATTAGCAACACTTTCATTCAAATTAGCATGAAATAAATTGACGATCTATATCACTATTCAAAGAGCAAAACTGATCATTAAATTTAATAGTAAGAGCATGCGATATTCAGAAAGTGAAGGGTCAGCATTCAACTTGGAAAAGCCGTGTGTGTTTGGCGTTCAATTTGGTGAATTTCTAAATTGATTTTGTTACAGTACGGTACACTATTCAATGCCTGTAAATGAATTTGAAGCCTAGTATGGTACACTATTCAATGCCTGTAAATGAATTTGAAGGCTAGTATGGTACACTATTCAATGCCTGTAAATGAATTTGAAGACTAGTATGGTACACTATTCAATGTCTGTAAATGAATTTGAAGGCTAGTATGGTACACTATTCAATGCCTGTAAATGAATTTGAAGGCTAGTATGGTACACTATTCAGTGCCTGTAAATGAATTTGAAGGCTCTAGCGTATGAAAAAGAAACATGGGAGCAACGAATAAACGATAATGACGAATTCCGCCGGGAAAACCTATACTCTAGTTATCTCGTTTTAATTTCTATTTATTTCAGTGCCATATTTGTGCCTGATATGAAGCATATTTATGAAATATTTGTCCTAAATGAAGAATTACTAGCAGTAGCTTTCAGGATCCATCCCAGAGCCTTAAATTTCTTCTGTCAGATGAAGGTTGAAAAGGAGCATCAAGTACTTAGGTGCTTTAATAACATCATGGATGAATGGAGTATTCACATCTGGTATCAAATGTTCAGAATAAAAGATGCAAATTTCTAATAAAACTTTAGAAATCAAACGAGTTTTGATGTAGCTGTCTAGCATCTTAGTTCCATAAAGTATCTAAGCAGACATCAAAAATTTTTAACCAGAAAAGTTTGTGAAAGCCTCTGCGGATTTCATTGAATGTACCTGCACTCTATTCACTGTCAGATGCTGCAGTGCAGACCATTGGAAGCCTCTGTACTGATGATCCACTCACTGAGCAGGAACAAGGAAAGATTGCAGGCCGGATTACAGATCTTGTGCAAGTAAGTTGTAGGATGCAGTAGGCAGAGAGGTGGATGGATGATGGGTGAAGGAGTAGGTGGGCATGTTGCTAACACTTATGGATGGGGGGAGCAAATCAAGGGAAAGCCCCTCCACAAAAAAGAAACCAAATCTTTGGGTTTTTTGCATGCATAGACTCAAGACAAATTTTGTGACTTCATGTATTTCACTTTTCTTCTTCCCTGGAGTGTGTAAAAAGTACCAACCTTGAGCCTAAACCCTACAAAAGATTACATGAATTAAGAAATCCTCAAAGTTTTGTTCTACTCTTAAAAGAGAAGTAAAAAAAAATTGCTCTATCAATAAAAAACCAAACCTTACCTCTGATCCACCTTTGTTTGCCAAACGTTCAATTTGATCCTTTTTACTAGACCTAATTTTTTATTCTACGTCCATTTCAAAATGACAGTTTCACATTGTCCAGTATCTTTCAAACAGTATCTTTTATTCAGTTTATTTCTTGTACCTTTTCCTTCCTCCTGGAGGTATCTTGACAATGTGTGCAATAACCCTACTGAGGAGAAATACAGGAAGATCTCGGAACACAACAAAATCTTCCAAGAGAGAGTGGTTCCTGTTGTTGGTGCCAGGGACTTCCTGGAGGCAGTGGGCTTCAAACCCAAGAAACTTCTGTGCCAAGGTATGGAAATGATGGGAATGGAATTATTGTGCAGATCTCCCAGCATCATTTCCCATGCAATAGCTCTAAAGGCTGGAGCTTGCTTGTTTGCATTTTGTTTTTGTGTATTTTTTGCATCACAAGGAATTCACCTTTCTGACCTTTGCATGAGTTTCCTCCATAAATTTTGCAATTTTTAGAAAAATAATTTTGTTGTCTAGAAATTTCCTAGAAATGGCCCCAACAGTTTCCAAAAAAATTTCAAACATTCCAGGGAACTGTTAGCATTTGATAATTTCTAAACATTCAACAAAATATATTTCTCATTCAGTGCGGATCTCTACCACGAGGATACTCAAATTTTCTTTTTTAAGGAAAAGATTATATCTGTTTCTAGTGTCTAATACAATTTCCCTTTTTAATCAGCTTCTATTTTCGCAAAATGTCCTAATTTGAACAGTTTGTAAGTTTGTAAAAAAACCTAAACTGATGACAACATACAAACCTTTCCTTCCTATCTCTTACCCTCCCCCCTCAAAAACCCTAAAAAATCCTCCTTACAGGAAAAACAGTTGCATGTACTTCTATTCTTTATCACAGATACTGAAATGCCTTTTCTTGTCATGAGTAAAAAGTGCGCCTCTGATGTTGACCAGATCAAATCTGCCCGAGATGTGCTCTTAAACACCCAGCCCTCTGAGGCGACACTTCATCGGGACGTCCGCATCTACTACCCTTCCCACAAGGCCGAGGAGTTTCACCTTCCTAGAGACTTTTATGATATCATACCAGGGTATACTGATTTTATTTCTTCAATAAGCCACACTTACTTACTAAGGTGATATACTTTGCACAGTCGGGCAATAGATACTAATTTATTAAATACTTTGACAGCATGTCTCAGATACAGATTACATAGGCCCTGGGATATCCCAAGTCAGAGATGTCCAGATGCAGAATATCTTAGATTGGGGTTGTCACAGAATATCCAAGATACATGTATTTGACATATTCTCAATTTGTTTTCAAAGCTGATCAGAGAACAGTGCTGCTGTCTTCTCTTGTTGTCTTCTTTTTCTTTTATTTTCGGCATAGTTTAAAACACTCCCAAGAAGATAAATTCAGTTTTGTACATCAATAGGAAAAGGACATTATACTTTGAGTCAGTTCACAGTATTTTCTTCTCTAGTTCACAGGCTAATGACCCAAGGGAGTCTAGACGTTATCAATATACAATCATTAGGATCCGTTTTCCAGATGGGGTGCTCCTACAAGGTAATTATCTACTGCCAAGCTTGAGCTCATACATTTTTCATTGTTTCTAGTTGTGTATTCAGAGGAAAATAAATTAAATTGGTCGGATTCTCTGTTACCATTTCTTTCTGTACACTGTGTAAAATATCACAATTTGTTTATAAATGACCTTTTAAAATTTCCTTTCTAGATGTGTTTTGAGTGTGGGGGAGGGCTTATCACCATATCTTTACAATTCAAGCATTCAAAAAGAAGAGAGCACGATTTTACAACATGCTTCACGTATCTGAGATAAATCAAGCATACTATTTCCATATGAAGAGAATACCTTCATTGACAGTCCAAAACATACAAAATGCTTTTCACAATTCCAAGTGAGCGCTAACTTAAATGGATTTACTCTTGGGGGCCACGAGTACTGAAAAGATGTGAAGCATATTCAGTGGGAAATGTTGCCATGGCAACACTGATGGTCATTCATCTGAGAAGATGCCCTTTTCATTTTTCAGGAACATTTCATGTGGAAGAGAAACTGTCTGCAGTGAAGGCGTTTATTTCCCTCATGCTGGAGAAAGAATGGCAGCCTTTTGTGCTGCGAGACACAACCGACAGGGTGATGTCAGCAATGAACAGCACACTGCGGCAACTGAAGCTTGTGAGTTCACCATCACGACTGTCACCAAGCCACACACTGATGCAGTAACATCTTACAGATGCAGCAATATTTTGGGGTAGTTAGAGGGAAGGGTGGAGCTAGAGCTGACTGTCCCCCATGATTACTGCCCATATTCACAGAGGAAATGTCTTTTTCAACTGCTTACAATGGCTGCAACTTTCACTGAGAACACGGATGGTGATGTTGATTAGAACTAGACTTGTTTATTTTGAACAGAGCCTTACAACAAATCACCACACTTTCTTTGTGGGAGAGGGTCATTACAATTCCAAATCAGTGACGCACTGAAAGGACTAACACTGTAAAACATATTTGATGATCTAACATCCAAATGCTCACTGGTTATTATTTCACACATGCAACAATGTACATTTCTGTGACATTCCTATTTCCTTCGGTGCAGAGGCCTTCACTGTGTTGAGAGAGCAGTTTCATTTGTTACGAAAGTTGCAGACAAGCTGTGGGGACACAGATTATTCCCTACGACATTTTTGTCCATACATCTAATTTTCAACTCATGTATGGTCCCCACAGCTACAGAACAAGTATCTGTGTGCTTGGACATGGTGCCTTGTGGGGTACCAGAACAATGGAAAGTACCCCACAAGGCTAGTTTTGATCCTTGTGGGGTACTAAAGTGGTACCCCAAAATTAATTTCACAAAATAGATATTTCAAATTTACTCAAAAAGGAGGAATTTTCAAGTGCCATTCATCGTCGCAAATTGAAGTATTTTATACAAGGGACATACGGTCGAAATTTCGACCCAGGAAACTGAATTTGGTTGAAATGGCAGTGATTTAAATGTTTTTCCGTGTTGTGTGGGAGTTTTGGACACGAGAAAAAGGAAATACCCCGCAAGTATACATATGTAAGGTTGTTGGGCTAGCATGTAGCGAGCGAAATGTCCACGCAGGTATTCAGCATAAACATATGTACGTGTTTTAAGTTGTTTCCCATGTTTGTTGTTTTTTGGAGGGGTTTACTTTTTAAAAATCCATTTGCTTCGTTTCTTTCAGGTTCCAGGTGCTGTCATGAATTTTGGATTTAATGCCACTATCGAAGCCGAGATGGCCACTGGGCTCTATTTCTGCTTACACGGTCCAGTCAAGGGGAAGCATCACCTAAAGGCAAACCTCATGAGAACAATAAAGGTTCTTTAAACAGAGACCAGGGACAAGACATTAGGGTTTGCGTCCAATGCTTCCACCCTCTTCACCCTTGGAGGACTTTAAATGCTAACCTCTAACAATTCAGACCTCATTGGTTTACGATCCTGTTGTCACCACCATCTGTTTTTTGTTTTTTTTCCATAAGTTGAGACTACAACTTAAAGGGAAGTCATGTATGGAAATTTCATGCCGCTGACAACTGACAAAACTTTCTTAAAGGTGTTATGACACCCTGTTCAGTGTTGTAGACACTGACCATCAGCCGAGCAAATACTTTGGTGGCATGTGCAAGCATAATTCTTTGCATACGACTAAGCATAAGTAATAGAGAATGAACAATAGTAACCAGATGCAGTTGTTACAGTTCTAATTTGCATAGGATAGCTGGTGACTTGCATTGCAACTGACAAAGAGGTAATAAATTCTTTCCTGCAAGTCCTTGCAAGTTCATCACAAGTCATTCAGTCTAACGCCATGTCAGAAGATATTTCAAAAGAACTGTGACTAAAGCATTCCTTTGCCGTTCACCCTTTTACTTATGACTGCTCTCGTGGCTGGGCTTGTGATTGACTTGACTTGTGATGGTCTTATGATGACCTTGTGATGGTCTTTTGATAGTCCCCTTTGGTCTTGTGATGGTCTTACGATCTTGTGTTGTTCTTGTGATTGTTTTACAATGATCTTGTGTTGTTCTTGTGATGGTCTTTTGATGATCTTGTGATGGTCTTTTGACAGTCCTCTTTGGTCTTGCGATGGTCTTATGATGATCTCGTGTTGCTCTTGTGATGATCTTGTGTTGTTCTTGTGATGGTCTTTTGACGGTCTTCTTTGGTCTTGTGATGGTCTTTTGATGATCTTGTGATGGTCTTTTGACGGTCTTCTTTGATCTTGTGATGGTCTTTTGACGGTCTTCTTTGGTCTTGTGATGGTCTTTTGATACACCAGTATTATCACAGCAAAAGATTCCACACAACCCACAAACCTCGAGAATGGCCAATTCACTGCAGAGGTTAGTACTTGGTGTCCTTCTCTCTCATCGTTTTCAAACCCAGCAACCTATCTGTCGCAAGTCCAAAATTATTTCCCCCGTGGACAGCAACTCATCTGGCACACTTCAAACACTTCTTGTCTTTGTGTTGTTTGTTGAGCTATTTTTGACAGGAAATCGTGTTGTTTTGACAACTGATGCCTTTATTTCAACAGCATACAAATCAAATATGTATCAATCACAACAGCAACATTGTAACTGTAGAAAATATGTCAAAATCACAACTCTGTACAGAAAATCATTGGACGGCATTCCTGTTTTATAGTTGCAAAGTATTTTTGAATAGTAAGTATAAATACTGCCATGATATTTTAAGGCCGGCTATTGTTGAAAACATGTATCATGCTTTGTCATATTTACACGTAGATGTAAATTCAATTTTTCTGTACATACAGTTTTTCTGTAAGCATATACATTTATCTGCACAAGAAGAGGACAGACACAGATTTTTCTTTCACACTTGCCACAAATAAGGAGTTGGCTGAAATACGGGCGTTTCTCAATAGAGCGCCACCAAGAGATCGCAACACGTTGACCAATCACAATGCGCGAAATTTGTCAACCCAATGCGCATTCGGAAGGGGCTGACAAATTTCGAGCGCTGTGATTGGCCAACACGTTGCAAATTCATGGTGGCGCACTATTGTGAATCGCCCCTATAGCATTAGCCAGTGAAAGACTGCAACTTTTCTGCCATATTGCTTTCTGTTTCTTCAGGGGGGAAAAAAAACCACCCTTGAACAGTTCTGAATGCAAAGTATTGGGAGTACAGGTACATAATCCCCTCCCCCCTCCAAAAAAGTGGTTGCGCCCTTAAGTATCCACAATGCTTGGCCCATCTGATCTCCTTGAACCAACATTTGCTTCACTGCAGAGGGTGATATGCAGTGGATCATCAAGTCATCTTCAAACGACCATATACTTGTCGTCTTTGTTCATACAAAGATAGAAGGTGCTCTGTGAAACTGCACTAAATACACACGAATACAGGACCAATAATCTTTTTCTAACGAGTCCATGACCATCAACTGGGATTTTCCATTGGGGAGGGGAAATTTGGGTTTATCAACTGTGCCCTTTGCAAACTTAAATTTATTACGCTTACTGGGAACTCCTTAAGAAAAGATTCTGTAGGCAAAGGGCGAAACCAAACTATTCAAAGGTACATCCCCCAGTAGTGCCGACTATATCTGTCCATGATAAGCTTGTGAATTCTTCCCTTAGGTTTTGGCAACCACTGCCTAATAATTATGCTGGCAAAGAGTAAAACCAAAACTTTCAAACAACCAATTCTACTTTATGTCACTGTATTACCAAACAGTACTCAGATTCTTGATGCCAAGAATGTATTTAAGTACATGTAAGTTGGAGAATTGGACACCCTGTATGTGACTGCTCATGTGACCTTGATGTAACAAAGACCCCAGCCGGTGATGTCTGAGTACTATTTGGGTACTTCCAACCTCTGTATCATGTAACTTGAACTCTTGGAAAGCACTGAATGGAAATGGTCGTCAGATGCTGGCAACACCATAATCCTGGCTCTGTACTTTACAATATGTAGCTACTGACAGCCAGAAAAAGCCAACCAGTAGGTTGGTACTGAACGGTCAACTTACACCAGTCCAACCTCCGACAAAATCTAACTGCGGTTAACCATGGTTATCAAGTAATCTTGATTGCTGCAACGTGGCCTAATGGCTGACAATATTGGCAATTGAAAGCAGAATGTTGTGGATTCCCATCCAACGTGAGTAACATAACTCCCCTTTTCACACACGAAACCACCAAACAGAGTTTCTGCCAACAGTTCTAACATAGCATGAAATTTCTTAAAAAAAAAATTCAGGCAGCATGCAAGGCCAACCTGCAATAACACTTATCTTCCTACTATGCATGTAAACGTTGGTCCTCTTGAATGTGACATCAGTAAAATAAATGGGAGTTTGCACAAATCTTAGCATTTTACAAGGCTGTGATTTGATGCATAAAAGTGTACTTGAAGAACACCTGTCATTTCTCAACCTGTGCCTCAGATTTGTCCTCATCTGTCTCCTCTTCCTCCTCGCTGGAACTGAAGTGAAATCAAGCACAAGGTCTCATTAACACTAAACCAATAAATGACTGATGTGGCTTGCACCTGAAAACACATTGCTAGGAGCTTGTTCATGAGTGTGTTCCCAAATTCAAATTTGTACTCACGTCAATAAGAAGAATCAGTTACTCATGATCATAAAAGCTTCCCTCTTTAATAGTTAAAAGAGGTCTTTTCATATTAACACCTTCATTCCTGAGCACCATGTGCAGAGTTTCCACTGTCATTGAGGGCGTAATTCCACAAACAGGCCTGGAAAGTGTGTACAAGGTACAAGCAGGTGGAAAAGTCAAGAGTAACTTATTTCACCTCGTCTTTAGAACTGAGTAGTTAGCAGTGTAATAAGGCACTTCCAACTTCTATTTCATGTGCACTGAATCAACCACTGTGGATTTCTGTTCTAGAAGGAATTGAAGATACTACGTCTTACTCTTCATCGTCATCGTCATCTTTGTCACTTTCTTCATCTTCATCGTCATCTTCGTCACTTTCTTCATCATCCTCGTCCTCTTCGTCATCTTCATCATCGTCTTCGTCATCTCCATCATCGCTCTCACTACCCCACAACTGTTCTTCTCGCTCTAAAATTTTCAAGAATTTTTTTTTTTCAAACAATGAAACTAAAAGTTACTCAGCTTTAAAAAGGTTGATAAAACTGATTGATTAAACTTGGTTTAAAAAAGATAAAGACCTGTATAATTCCTCCTTAAATAAATTCTTCTTCAATAACTTGAAAGTTGAAATAAAATAGTCTTCAAAATTGTTTGCAGCTGGTTTTTTTCCCTTTTTCTAAAATTTTGAGGTACATTTTAAGGAATTTTAAGGTACACTTTGGGAATAAATACCTCGTTTCAGCATCTCTTCAATCAGGGGCTGGAACTGCTTAGCTTCAGTGTTGTCGGGTTCATAAAGCAGAACTGCCATAAACATATCAGAAATGGGTAAAAAATCACCCATAGATCATAGACTTTATAAGATTTGGTAAAAGGACAGTTTCAATATCACTGGCAGGTGTGAGCCCATTCAGTATATCAATGAAGCAAAACCATTTAGGGTAAAAGTACCTGATGGGCCTGGATTGGGTCATTCTATAAATTAGGGGTCCAATTTTTGTGTGTGTCCCTGTCACATCTGACAAATTTTTTGTAAGTTTCAGAACACATTCTGTAATTTCAAAGAGTGGTTAATTAATGCAAATTAACTGCAAAACAAATTCAAACAGTTTGAAATCAACTTCTGTGAGATTTCCCTGTAAAATTACACAGGTGAGGTGAAATTATAGGGACACAAAAAGGTCACACTTTTGGACCCCAAAATAATAGAATCACCCTGATGTCATGCCAGCACGAGTATGGTCAGTGCATGTTAGCTTGTGCTTGATGGTGCTGAAAGGGCTTATCTTACATATGCATATTACCTCAAGTGACCTACAGCATGGCTATTTTGGATTTGATGATTAATGACACCAAATACGCTCAAGTGACTGGACATGGGTCATCAACATCAGTGTCAAAGCCATCTGACAATACTTGGTTATGTAACACGACCCAAAGAAAATAGGAAGCCAATTAGACTCACCCATTTTGCACAGCTTCTCAGCATTTTCATAGTCCTCCTCCATGACTGCTTCCAGAAACTATGAAATACAATCGGTTAAATCAGTTGGATTAAACGTAGTCTTGTGGCAAAATGTGGACCATTTAACTTCAGGTGCGGGAGAAGAGGGAATAGATTATCTCTGAGGGTCTAATTTCAAAAAATTGGGACACTAAAATTTCTAGAAAGAAAGAGTATTTAGGGCTGAAGATTAATCCAGCAGCACACCATTAACCCTAACTCCCTAGGGTGTGTGCAAAATCATATTAAAATTGGAAGATTCAGGTGTGCTTAATAGGGTTAATGAATAGTACCACACACATTAATGCAAGTAAGCATACGCATTTGACATGAGGTACATGTACAGTTTGGAAAGTTGTAAACACCCTATCAGTCGACGAGGATTTGACACCTGTCCACAACCTGCTAGTGAGCATGGTAGCACCGCAGTAATGGTTTCTGATTCTAGTCACTGATCAATAAGCCCCCTACCCCTGCTTCATGTAGTATCCTACCTCTCCGAGAAGCTGAAAGGGTGCTTTTCCTTCCTCCTCTTCATCGTCATCGTCATCATCATCATCATCACTGCTGTCATCATGATCTCCCTCAACCCCGGCAGAGACATCGCTCGTTGAAGTTGCTCCCACGACCTGCTCTTCCTGTGGCTCCTCGGCTTCTCTGGAAGATTGCCTGGTATCTGTTGATTTGAATAAGTTGCACCACACGGAAATGGTATTTTCTTGCTTCTTGCTTTTGTCATTGTTTCATGAGGCCACTGAGGAAGTATTCCATCAAGATCAAAGTGTCCGCATTTGCAGGTCTAAACAATACCGGGGGTGGATGGGAAGCACAAAGTTAAGCCTACCTTTCAGTACTTTTTCATCAAATGTCACCTAATGGAAATGTTGCTTTGACCTCCAAAAAAATACCAGTGGTTTCCCAGCTAAACTATCCAGCACTTTGATTGGTGGTAACAGAGTACAGGTATGGAATTCTAGAGGTATAGGTTAAAATCTTCCTTCAGTCAACTTTATTTAATGCTGAGGTGTGAAATCATCACATCGAAATTGAAGGATTGAGGTTAAACAAACTTCTCATATCCACCAGAAATGAGCCACGCTCCAAAAAGTAACACGCGTAGGAGGCGCATAGACATTTGAAATTCTGCTGAGACTCCTCTAAATATTACTTTGCCGGACTTACCAAAAGATGTGGATGATGAAGCTCTGTCATGAGTGAGATAGTAAGAGTCACTCCCTGCAGTGGAAGAAATACTGGCTGCTGCTGATGCTGGGTATGCTTTGAAACAAACAAACAAACAAACGAACAAACATTTCACTGAAAAACCGGAAAGGTCTACAACAATGCACCGTTCACATACCAAGACCCATTCAATATCTAAAACCGTCTGTACCAACTTCATGGGTATGTCCAGGGAGCTCTGCTTGTATTTGTCTCCTCTCCCAACAACCACACAAACCAACTAATAAACAGTAAATCACAGCTCTCTACCCATCACCAACTACAGTTTGGTGGGGATTTGATATTACCAATCTTAGCTCTGCGACAAAGGATGTCCCTGATTTCAACAAGACTGCAGCACCTTAGTCCATTCTTGGATTGAATTGATTTTTGTGCCAGATTTGCCTAATAAATTGCATTTTCCCGCCTTTTTGAGGGGCACAAACTGGATGTAAACCCTCCCAGGCAGGCTTCTAAGTATGCTTTGTGGGGAAATTGTCCTTTTGGGGCATGTGGTCTGTGGTTTGAGCTGGGGGGGAGTTGATTTCAACAACACAAACAATTTCAAGGGGATTTTGTACACAGACACATGGAAGCAGGGATTTGTACACAGACACATGGGAGCAGTGATTTTGTACACAAACATATGGGGGAGAGATATTTGCCCCGCCCAGTCTCAGGAACTGACAGGGTGACCTGGTGATTAATACCACCTCTAAAAGCTGTGTCTAGGGAAGTCACAGAATTTTGGTCGGCTGTCATGTGGCATTTGGTAGAGAGATCAAAACGTGATTTCTGGCCCCTTGGGGGACCAAAGTGAGACCTCACAGGGGCAATTTATACTGTGTTCTTGTGTTTTACTGGATGACATTTGGCACGTCAGTTCAGTTTTCGTTTGGAAAAGCAAATATATACATGTGCATCGTACATACGTAATATGCTTCAACTTGAAAGAAAAAGGAAAACTTGACACAGCACGTCTCCAACAGAACTTTTCTGTTCATGGTTAACACTATGAATATTTTTATGATGCATTGAATTATTTTTGAAGTGAAAGAGTGTGACGCTTTATTCCTTACAAAAGATTTTCTCAAAGGGAAAATTGGCTATGTAAAATGGCTACAGCTACAAAATGGAGAACCAGCTAAAATGACACTGTAGTGATTTTTCTCAGTATATTAAGAGTTTACTGCTGCTTTAAGTATTCTATAAAACTTGAACCAGAAATTTGATTGCCAAATTACTTTTTTGTAAACAAAAACTTTAAAGCCTTTTCTTCTTATTTTCGAGATGAGAAATAGAGGGATTCCAAATAAAACCTTTCAATTTGAAAATATTCCATTTCCCCCCAAAATGCAGCATTTGAAATACATGTACAAGTGTGTGTATTTTTACTAGTATTGCAATACCCTAAACTTGACTTCTTGCCCAAATGTACTTGATTTGACACACCACTTTACACTTTGTAATTTTGTACTTTACATTTCTGCAAAGTACTGAATAACAACGACACCCACCTTTTGACTTGTTGGAAATAGTACCATGGCTGATATAATATGAGTCTGTGTCCTTCATCTCATCACTGTGACCTCTGTCATTTGACCTCTGACCCTCACCCTCTTCAAGGGTCAACCTCTCCACAGTAGTCTCAATCTCGCCTGGGTTTTTCAGTTCATTGTTGTCTGTGCCTGTTTCGTGATGGCTTGGCCTTTCCCTCTGTTCTTTCCTGTGTGATGAGTCGCGAGTTGTGTGCAGGGATGATGGAGGATCACCAACGACTCCGTTTTGAAGGGATGGTAGATTCTGGACAGCTTTGGCCAGTTCTTCATTCTTTGGCATTCCATGTCTGCAAGAAAAAAATACGCAAAACTGTATTTAAAAATTATATTTCTTAAGATGCTCCATCTGAACACTTCTGTAAGGATTTGCTGAAGGCACACTCGGCAAATAATATCAAACCTTCAACCATCAAATGGACTAAACCAGCCACAGCTAGAAAGCAGAACACTGCAAAACCTTCAGCGAAATGGCCTGCAAGAAAAGGCCATGATATCAGGTAACATTTTATATTTGCTGCTTGCATTTATAAGGAAAAACCAACAAGCCCCTAACACACAAGTCAGCATGCCAAACTACCAGCACACCTTCAACCTACCAGCTGGCAAAACTACAAGGCACTGGCTAACGAGCAGCCTGCCAGCAATGTGCTTGCAACCTCCCGGCAAACAGCACAACAAACCATCAGCAAACAAGCCAGTCTTCTAGCATGCCAACCTACCAGTATACTTACAATCCACAGACCAGAAAAACGAGACAATGGCCAACAAGCCAGTCTGCCAGCAATATGCTTGCAACCTTCCGGCCATCAGCAGGCATGCCATCCTGCCAGCCAGCCTGCCAGCCAGCCAGTCAACCAACCAGTCAGCCTAGGCCTGCCAGCCAGCCAGAAAACCAGCCAGCCTGCCAGCCAATCAGCCTACCAAGAAGCCAGCCAGCTAGCCCGCAATCCTGCCAGTCAACCAGCCTGCCTGCCAGCCAATCAGCCTGCCAGTCAACCAGCCTGCCAGCCAGCAAACAAGCCCATCACCAAACTATCCAACACCCACAACTTCCTACTCACTGCTCGAAGTTCCTCTTGACCGTGGTTAGATAAACCTGCTTCCTGGGAGAGTCTGGCGTCTTCAATTCCGCCCTCCCATCTATGCTGCTACTTCTCTTCAGCTCCACCCCTCCTCCCCTTCCATCACCATTGCCAAGTTCATCCTCTGTGAAACTAAGGCGGCTGATTGCCCCTGCACTTTGAGTCTGGCGTGAGCTGTCCACATTCACTCCATCATTACTGAGTCTACTTGAGGTCCCACTTCTCTCCTCTGCAAGAAAGAAAATGATTAGAATATTTTTGATGATGATGCCCTTTAAAACCCTTAACCCTGCTAGACCTAACAAGGTACAACAGGTGTACAAGTCTGTTGGACTTTGTTACACAACAATAACGAGCCGAGCCAGTCCCATTCAAGTGATTAATGGATGAGGCTGTTTGACCTCCCCATTATGGACTTGTTGAATCTTGTTATACACAGCCCCAAAAAGGCTACCGATGTGGCTAGGGCTATTCACTGAGGTGGTCTTATAGCAAAAATTGACTACATAGCCTCCAAACACCCAGTATGGACAAAGTCTCACCCTACGACCGTGGTATGCTGTTGTGTTCACATACATATTTGACCAAAACATTGTACAGGCTAAAATTAACCTAATACAAAAACCCAAGATTAAAATAACCACTAGAACACGCCCAGTGATGTTACTGCCAGTCTAACGATGTTGATGTTTAGGAGGATTCTCAACCACACCCTCTTTCTCAAAAATGACATTTGGAGAGAACTGTGTGAAAGAACTGACAGCCTGGAAGCTCTGAAACATTCACAGCACTGGTTGGGAAATACAGCTGAGTTCTCCAACTATTATCGTACCTTCTTGGGAGGGTAGTATTTCCAAGGAGCTGCCCCCTCTTTTAAGTGGTGACTGTTGGCCAAAGACAGAACAACTTATCAATTAAACCGGAATCAAAAGTGATATTCATTGGACCAACGAGTGGAAATAACTCAAAAGTGCTGAACCTTAATCTTGTCCAGTTCAAGTGTATTTTAACCTATGCGCCTCTGCTGTTTCACTTCAAATGTGGTTTTTTTTAACATTCTCATTTTGGTGATATTTCCCTAAAAGGTCCAATTTGTGCATAAGAAATGTCAAGAAAGCTTACTTGTCTATTGACTGATCTTCTACCGGAGGGCGGTCTGAAATTACAAAAAAAATCAAGATTTACTTCACAAATACTGACTGACAGGAGTTGATCGAAGGTACACCACAGCCCCTAGCAAAATAATGAAGCAGAGTTCACTACTTGAGGAAAAGCTTGGCTCCTTCAAAATACATCAATGCAAAAAATAATTTAATTGTTGTTTTCATGTGAAGGAAACAAACTCCTTAATGCCTGCCAAACTGACCTTTGACACCAATGACTTCACCCAGTACATTTGTTACAGGTTGACCACTCTCATCATTCCCATTATATTCGTCGCTTACTCAAGTGCACCAGACAGTTTTTACCAGTATCAATATCAAAACAGACAGAAACTGTACAATGTATAAATATGTTAACTGTCAAGGATCAAGTAGTGTACAGGTAGGCTGGAAAGAGGAGAGATGGGAGCAGTGGTTAATAACCATTAGCCTTTGACTAGAGCCACTCGGTTGGACAACATGTACCTCCCTAACCTTGGCAAGATGGGTCATTCCATAAGGTTGGGGCACAATTTGTGACGGTGTCAATTGTTAAATGGGTTCCGTAAAAATGAACAGCTATTTCCCTGCATGTGGATTCCAAACTGACATTGTTAATAAATCTTGCAAGGCTGAATACAGAGGTGTGTGTTATTTTGACAAAGTAAATGGTCTACTCTACAGGTCGTGACAGGTGGTAAAAGTTACAAGTGTAACAAGGACACCGTCACAAGTTGTGCCCCAACCTCAAGGAATGACCCATACACCAGTGTTGACGTCGAGACCATCACAAGACCAGACATAAAACCAGACACAATCTAACGACCAAGACCAGTCACAAGTAGCAGTGTGAATAATGACAAAGGAATGCTTTGTTGCAGTTTATTTGAATAACTTGTGACTTGAACTCAGACTGGGGGTCTTGTGCTGGTCTCATGCGGTCTTGTGAAGGTCTTAAGTGGTCTCGACTACATCACTGCCATACACAATATGAGGAATACTAGGCATTCTCTGAGGCCATATCAAGCACTGGGGACACTAGCTCATTCCAAGTTAAGGCAAATAAATGGGAGTGAATTTGTGTGGCAACGAATGACACTTGCGTAATCACATTTCAGAGAATAAAAATTCTCACACAAAAATTCTGCCTTTGGGCGTAAGGTCAAGAATATAGAGGTTGTCCAGCATACTGGCTCTAGTGTGTGAGGCTTGGTAGGCCTTAGGAGTACCTTGAAGGGCTTTTGTGTCCTTGTTCCAGGACCATCATGGAGTTGGGCGTTCCACTGCGGCTACCTGATTGTCGGCTGATCATGACGTTATTGTTTTGATTTTGCATTTCTTCCTGTTAACACAAATGCATATACATATACAACAAAAATTAGAAGCATAAACAAAAAAGGCAAAACAGGTGCATTTCTTTCAAGGCGGAAACTCCATATGCCCGTCAACACTTGCGTCAAGCGTTGCATATCTGTCAAAATCACTCCCAGGGCATTTTTGACGGCTGAGCGCATGAACGCACACGTGTTATGTTAAATGAAAAAAATTTCTTTGTCCATGAAAGTGAAACGCGTGAAAGCATTGTGTACGCAACCCACCCAAAAAAACATACATATGGAAAGGCGGCGTAATGCTTCACAGTGCTAAGTGTAAAGTAAGTGCATCAATGATGATGTCTGGGGCCTCTATTGCATGGGCAACTTTGCACAGATAAATACATGTAAGTCTGACATCAGGCTGTTGGACAATTCATCTCATCTTCAATTTTATCTTGCTTCTGAATTCTGCGGAGTACTCCACGATTTCTGCAAAACACCCAAATGAACTTCATTTAATTCAATTTTAAGCCAAGCCCAATCATGCCCAATGTCAATTAAACCATGTCATGCTGGACAAATGTGTTAACACGAGATTTCCTGTGTCATAACATGGAGAATGTTTACACAGGTTCAATCAAAATATTTATAATACAATGGAGAGTGATACTTGACTATATTCTAGGAATGTATTAATCACTGTTGCAGGATAACACTAAACCATGCATGCTCAAACCTGATGTGCACATGCATTTGGAGCAGCCACAGCACCATGTAACGTGCACCTGCCATTTACAGTAACCTTGCACAAGTGTGGTGCAACCACAGTAATCGATAACGACTTCTCATTCAATTCTATATTGCTGATAAGTTGTGGGTTGGCAATGACAATGTGGACACTAGCTCGCTGTTTTGGAATTTGTGGTGCTCCGTGAGTTCCAGCTTATATCCAAGGAAATAGTTCCATATGCGGATGCCGCTTGACATGCCGTGCATGTGCATAAACCCTTTGAGACTGGTCTGAAAAAATTCTATTGTTGATGTATCCTAACATGGCACATTTTCATTTTTGAAACAGAGAACTATTTTAAGCCCAAAGTTTACAAACAGTTTATTCATTCTCCTAATAATCTGATTCATAAGTCTAATTTTGGAAAGATTTCCATATATGAACACCAGTAATTCTTTCCTACAGTGACTTAACAGCCATCAGAAAGCAAAAATATGTCCAGAAAACTTCAATTAGCACCCCGCATGAGTAAGCGAACGAAGCTAGAGGGGAATAAATCCATTCACCAAACATTACGGAACTTTCTTGTCATGAATTTGTTCCCCTCTCTTAAATCTTCTTAGCATACGCAAATGCATGACATGAAACATGAAAAAGGCTTAGCCTATACAGCAGAACGCCGCTTTACCGAACATTTGGCTGTACCGAACATCGTCGTAATTTGATCACAGAACCTACTAAACACTATTCAGTTGCCGTTTGTAATCCCCGAATGTCAACATGATTTTTTATGTTGGAAAGTGACAAGTGGCCATTATTTCCCCCAAGGATTAGACGGGAAAGCCGCTAGTTATCAAAGGTACTGAATGTACACTGGTTTTGCGACTCTGCATGATCGGTGCGGAAGAAAACCGCAAGTACGTGCACCGTGGCACTGCACTAACAATAGTCTAAAGAGGGCGCCACTGATACACAAATCAACTGAGATGCGCCACAGCATGCATCAGAGATCGATCCTGTGTGGTAGCTTCACGACTTTTAGGACAAACTTGATATCAATTTTGTAACTCAAGATTAAATAAAAAACAAAAATAATTAATACTTAGACTATACATTTCTAGAAACCTTAAAGTGAATGCATTGGCAAATCATCAAGAAAACAGCAAACCATAGTATCACAAGAGGCTGCACTTCAGTTAAACAAGAGAGGGCACTATTCAACATGGCAACGAAATTTTCAGCAATTAATTCGCTTTAACCGAATGACCACTGTACCAAACATTTAGCATGGACCCCGTAGTGTTTGTTATAGTGGCGTTCCACTGTCATGACTGTAATTAGTAATAGTTGCATCCGTATACGGAACTCTTCCCATATCCAAAAAGTTGAAGTCACCCCCAATGATAACCATAATAACATCAACAATAAGGGAAACCAACAATAGTAGCCTATTTAGGCCTAGCAGCTTTGATCTCTGTTTTGAGAAGACCATGGAGGAATAAGAACACATGAGAAGACGGCCTAAACCTACAAACATGACAAAGCCAGTGCAAGTTCAATGACATGATTGACATAATTTGAAGGTTTTCAATAACTCCAGAACTGTGGGGTCCGACGTCCGCCCCGCTTCCACGACCAATTCTCGGTTCTGGGGGTAGGTTTTTAATTCATACACAGCATGTACATGCATGTAGGCCCCTGTGTACAGGCTTGAATTCTCAGGTCAGGCCAACGGTCCATCTTGAGATTGTTATTTAGCTTGTCTTCCATCTTTAGTTACGCATCACACTCATACCAGCACAATTTCAAAGGCAAGAAAACTTTCCTACCTCACTCCAACATTGTTTTCGAAAAATTCGTAAATTGACGAGCGTTACGTCGCCATTAGAGATGAAAACGCCCTCTCTTGATAAAGTGATCACAGTCAACGTTGATCAACTTCGTTTCCGTTTATGCTTTGTCCCCAAAACCAATCCCCGATTGTGGGCCTGAAGCGTTTAAATCAAATTAAATTACTGTAAGTTTTTGCCCTCTTGCGTCCTATTTGATGCTTTATGGCACTATTAGACTAATTAGTGCGCTTACAGCTTCGAAGTCAGGTAGTAAAAAAAAAACAGTTAAAGCCTGCGACGGAGCCGAATTGAATATTGGAAAACGGCCCGTTTTACCAAAGTGGTCGAGAAGGCAGCATAATATTACAACTGGAGGAGGGTACTTATGATAAATTATGTAAAATTCTCATAATCTAATGCTGGTAACATGAATTATGCAATACTGTATGTGACTGCGCGTAACTTGACGGTGATTTTCTGAGAATAAAACTCATGTCCAGATGTCCAGTGGACATTTTCCACACCATTGGATGTTATTATTCGTGGTCCAAACGTTTCGAAGTTTGAGCGAACTATGAGCCCCGCCTAGAGAAGATTACCCTTTTTTTGTCGAGGTAAAAGGTGGCAAATTTACATTGTGAAACTAAGGAACGCATGTTTTTAGATGAAACCCAACATCCTGAGCAATTTTCTCATAAAAATGCGACTCAATTTTGAATACAACCCGACGTATGCATGCTTGAACCTTGTGCCCTTGTATCGGCGGGTCACCATGAATGCCTAAATGTCCACTTTTCTCTAAAATGGCATTAAATCGAACGTCAAAGGATAAAAACTGGCAAAACGAGTTCCTTGGCTGCCTTAATAGTCTGAATTTCAGTTTACTCATCATATTACCACTGCGGGCGATTTGTTTGAACTAGATTTGCTGTATTTTTTTTCTGTTTTTTATCAACTCGTTCTAAACTATTTCAAGTTTGTAAACACCACCTGTTTGCTCGGGATGTGCACCTCTGCTAGCTTACTAATAACTAGCGTTTTTTATTTATTCATTTATTTATTTACGCATGCAGACATTGGCAACAATAGTTGAGATTTCATAACATTATAATAAATAGTGAATATGTAAATATTTACATACATTGTGAACAGATAATTATAAGCGGCCCCGATTCGCAAGTTTGTTCGTGGGGAGAACCCTGCCACTAGTAATGACGGGAAAAACAAGTGTGATATTTCTGTCGGTTAAACTTAGTTGTCAACAGCAGAAAATGAAGCCCGATACTGTTACATCATAAAATTATTAGGGGTACAAAAAGCACAGACAGGTGACTTTAATAGGAAAAATATTAAACACAATAAATTGAGGGGAACAACATGAAAAGAAAAAAATAAAAGCAGACTATCAGACCACAGATTTCCACCGTTATTCGCAGTTAATACGTGTTTTAAAAGTACCAGTAAAGCTTCGTTCAGATTTTGGCATACTTACTAAACACTACAACGTTCAGTTTTACAACAGTTTCTGAACTTTATTCAAACCGGTCTGCGGTGGCTCCTAGTACCCGACTAATAGTCAAGGCCCTCCTATCCTCGTTATAGCTCTACATCTTGCATAATTCATATCCAGGTGCCTGGGTGTGGGGGTGCAGACCACTAATTCAAGTGAGAATTTTTTACCAGCTTATTAGCATTAAAAGTGCCCCCCCCCACAGTATCTTTTGAAAAAGGAGATTGCTTGGCCCCCAAAATGGGGAGATTGTGTAAATCGTTGCCAGGATCAACTCCCTGGGTCTTTGAGCTTTCATATGAGGGCAGAAGGGCTCAAAAGTACGGTTGAAAAATGGTCCTACTAGTAAGTG